TGGGGTAGAATTTACTGATTCATCAGTTGCATATAGCATCCAGTGCTCATTCCAACAAGTGTGCTCCTTAATGTCCATCACCAAATTACCCCACCTACCCTCCAGCAACCCTCAGTTTGTTTCCTAGAGTTCAGGTCTCTTATGGTGTGTCTCCCCATGTTCATCTTATTTTATTTTTCCTTCCCTTCCCCTATGTTCATCTGTCTTATTTATTAAATTCCACTAGTGAAATCATATAATATTCATCTTTCTTAGACTTATTCAGTATAATACCCTCTAGTTCCATTCGCATCATTGCAAATGTCAATATTTCATTTTTTTTGATGGCGTACTAATAGTCCATTTGTGTGTGTGTGTGTGTGTGTGTGTGTGTGTATATATATATTTTAATTCATGAGAGACACACAGAGAGAGAGGCAGAGACAGGCAGAGGGAGAAGCAGGCTCCATGCAGGAAGCCCGATGTGGGACTTCCTGGGACCCCGGGATCACGCCCTGAGCCAAAGGCAAATGCTCAACTGCTGAGCCACTCAGGCATCCCTATACCACATCTTCCTTATCCATTCATCTGTTGATGGACACGTGGGCTTTTTCCATATTTTGGCTATTGTGGAGACTGTTGCTATAAACACTGGGGTAGCATGGGTCTTTTTAAAATTAATTGCTCTGAAAAAAAATAAAATTAATTACTCTGGTCATTCAGATCTTTTGATCTGGAAACTTAGGGCTTTAGTTTGGAAAATTTTCTTAGAGTCTCTTGTTGATAATTTTCTACCCTCTGGAAGTGCCTGGATGGCTAACCAGTTAAGCATCTGCCTTTGGGTCATGTCATGATCCAGGAGTCCAAGGATTGAGCCCTGTATCAGGCTCCCTGCTCAGCAGGAAGTCTGCTTCTCCTTCTGCCCCTCACCCTACTTGTACTCTCTCTCTCAAATAAATAAATAAGATCTTAAACATTTTTTTTCTACCCTCTGTGTTCTCTTTCTAGAACTTCTGCTAATCAGATGTTGAATATCTCAGATGGATCCCTCAATTTTCTTAACTTTTCCATTTTCTCCTTTTCCACTTTTGGGGAGAGTTTCTCAACTTTATCTTGCAACTCTTCTGTTTAAATTATTCCCTTCAGGGACGCCTGGGTGGCTCAGCGGTTGAGCGTCTGCCTTTGGCTCAGGATGTTGATCCCATGTCCGGCAGATGCTCAACCACTGAGCCACCCAGCGTCTCACAAAGGAAGATTTTAAAATAAGAACAAGTTACAGGCAATATGTTTCTTTTGTCCATAATGTTTTCTCTAAGTATATTTGAAAACTTAATACTATTTGAAAGTCAAACAAGTCTTGTATGTCAAGAAAGTTTTAAAGTCCAGATTTTTTTTAATCGTGAAATTCTTATTTCATTTTGCCTTATTTTTTTAAAATTTTTTTATTTATGATAGTCACAGAGAGAGAGAGAGAGAGGGGCAGAGACACAGACGGAGGGAGAAGCAGGCTCCATGCACTGGGAGCCCTATGTGGGATTCGATCCCGGGTCTCCAGGATTGCGCCCTGGGCCAAAGGCAGGTGCCAAACCGCTGCGCCACCCAGGGATCCCCTCATTTTGCCTTTAAGGGAAGTTTTAAATAACACATTTCTTGTGAACTAGGAAGTTAAAGTCTAATAATTTTCATCTCAGTTTCTGCTGAACCTCCAAGGCAATAGTGGCCACATGCTAAGAGAAGAGCAGGACTAATGCAGGAATGCAAAACAAGGTGGCCCAAAGTGAGTCCAGACTTCAGTCTGATTGCTAGCCTATAAGAATTGGACGCTAGAGGAAGATTGTTAGAAGCCGTTGATATGCTTTGTCTCCACCCATGAAGGGAGGTGGTGGATGATGCTGTTTCACTTTGAGTTGACAGGCAGAGTGTGTAGAGGGGAACCCTGAGAATCAGAGGCCAAAACGAAAGTTATAAGGGGGGATCCCTGGGTGGCTCAGCAGTTTTGAGTCTGCCTTCAGCCCAGGGCATGATCCTGGGGTCCAGGATCAAGTCCCACATTGGGCTCCCTGCATGGAGCCTGCTTCTCCCTCTGCCGGTGTCTCTGCCTCTCTCTCTCTCTCTCTCTCTCTCTCTCTCTCTGTGTCTCTTATGAATAAATAAAATCTAAAATAAACAAACAAACAAAAAAGACAGAAAAAGAGAAAGAAAGAAAGAAAGAAAGAAAAAAAAAAAGAAAGAAAGAAAAGAAAGAGAAAGAAAGAAAGAAAGTTAGTTATAAGGGGCCAGCCAGGGAGCCCACAGCATCCAAAGTAATGGAATGGTAGGTAGGAGGACAGTAGACAGGTCTTGAAAAGTCTTGAAAGAGGGATCAGAAGGACAAGTGTCAGCTTTAAACCTATGTCAGGCTTAGAGAGCCAGAACCAAGTTCACAACAGTGTTGGTAAGGCGAGCACCTTCCTCTCCATCTCACTCCCCTCTTAGCAACATGGGGCAAAAGAGGTGACAGCACAAAGGCTCCAAGTGCTTGCTGCCTACCCTCACCCCCCCACCACGGAAGGCAAGGACAGCACTGGGCTGAAGGTGAATCCAGGTCAGTCTCTATCTCCAAATTCAGTTCAAAGGTTTTGTTACATTGGACCAGACACATCACTTGCCAACAGGAGGGCCTTCAGTACCCAAAAGTAGTGAGCGAAGCCTTGAGATTTGCTAAGACATTCCATCCAGAGGCAGGGGAAGAACAAGTCCCGAAGAGTAAATTTGAAAATAGTGGGAGAAGTTGCCTTTTGATCCAATTGAGCTTGTTTAACACAGTTGAAGTAACACTTCATGTTCTGTTATTTTCCTTTGCAACTGAATATGACTGATCAGCTTAAGTTCACCGGCATTGGATTGTGGCTCTACTGATTTGACATGTTTGGCGATTTCATGATTTCTACCTGCTGCAACAAATCTATGAGATCTGCATTTCTTTTTAACCCCTGGTAATTCACCAGAACCTGAATTTGATGTGGAAAGATGGTTTGGGATTCTCAATGAAAAAATGTACAAAAGTACAGTTGGTTTGAGTCAAACATAAAGAGGAGGAAGCCTGTAATTCCTAGTTTTTGTTTTTTTTTTAAGATTTTATTTATTTGAGAGGGAGAGAGAGCAAGCTGGGCTGGGGGCAGAGAGAGAGGAAGAAGCAGACTCCCTGCTGAGCAGGGAGCAACTTGGGGCTTGATCCCAGGACCCTGGGACCAGACCCAAGCTGAATGAAGGTAGACACTTAGCCGACTGAGCCACCCCTGCAGTATTTTAAAGGTTTATTTACTTTTTTTTTTGGAGAGAGAGGGAGAGCACACACCCATGAGCAAGAGCAGGAGGAAGGGGAGACTCTCAGGCAGACTCCATGCTGAGTGTAGAATGAAACCTGATGCAGGGCTCAGTTCTAGGACCCGAATGAGCATGACCTGAACTGAAATCAAGCGTAGGTTGCTTAACCAACTGAGCCGTGCAGTGCCCCTCTAATTCTTGCAGTATTTTAAAAACAATTTCTTGGGGATCCCTGGGTGGCGCAGCGGTTTGGCGCCTGCCTTTGGCCCAGGGCGCGATCCTGGAGACCCGGGATCGAATCCCACATCGGTCTCCCAGTGCAAGGAGCCTGCTTCTCCCTCTGCCTATGTCTCTGCCTCTCTCTCTCTCTCTCTGTGACTATCATAAATAAATTAAAAAAAAATAAAAAAAAAAAGATAAAAAAAAAAAAAAACAATTTCTTGGAGAAAATTTCTTGGAGCTCACAGAGGAACATGAGAATTCCCAGACACAGTGGCCAGGTGCTGAGGTGGATGGCTAAATGATGGATGGAGCTGCACCCTGGAGGGAACTGAAACAGAGGTTGTCTCTGGGGATTAGGGATAGATACTGGCTGGGGAAGCAGCAGGAAGAGTTTTCTGGGGTGATGTGATCTTGAAAAGGGGGCTCAGTTGGCTTGTAAGTACTTGCCACATAGGTGGTGCATGTAAGATTTGTGCATTTCACTGTACATTAATTTCACCCACCCTCCTAAAAAGGTAAACTAGTTAATAACATGCATGTTTAAGTGTTTAGGAGTATGTACTGTCTGCAGCTGTACCTTGAAATGTATCCAAAAGCAGAATGAAGGAATAGTTACATGATAAAGAGATGTAACAGAATGTTAAAGAATTAAATGGAGGGCATATAATTATTTCAACTTCTCTGTATGTTTAACAATTTTCACAATGCTGGCAGCCTCATATTATATTGGCAAATGGACTTCTGAAGCCCAGAAGCCATGCCCTTCTCTATGCCCAGGGCAGTTGTCAGCTTCTAACCTTAGTAGGTATTATATTCCCACAAACTTGTTAAGTACAGAAACCCTAGTGTATTTGCATGTGTTCTATTATCATTACACTTTTATTTATTTATTTATTTATTTTCTTAAATATTATTTATTTATTTATCTATCTATTTATTCATTTATTTATGATAGACATACAGAGAGAGAGAGAGAGAGGCAGAGACACAGGAGGGAGAAGCAGGATCCATGCCGGAGCCGGACGCAGGACTCAATCCCGGGACTCCAGGATCGCGCCCTGGGCCAAAGGCAGGCACCAAACTGCTGAGTCACCCAGGGATCCCTCATTACACTTTTAAAAACCTAAGTTCTTACATCTGAAGATGAGTCCAGGGAGTTTCACGCATTGTATTGCAAACTGGAATGCATCCAAAGTGGGCTTCCCATATGTGAAGAAATCCCATTGCCTGGGGGACTCACATAGAGTATTTGTTCAGCAGTCATCTTGTTTTCCCCAAAGCCAGACTGAGCCTAAACTTTCCTTAGGACCTTGAAGGAAGAGTTTAGGAGTTTTAAGGCAAACAGAAGGGTGTAGGAGGAGGATTAAAAAAAAGAGGAGGGTGAGGTCTCCAAGCCCTTGCTCTGTAACCAGACCACTATGTTTCCCAGACAGAGCCCCTCCCTTCTTTTAAAACCTGACTTTGAGAACAAAGAGGATACCAGTGGCCATATCTCACTTTTATTTATTTATTTACTTATTTATTCATTCATTCATTCCATATCTCACTTTTAAAACCGAATCTGAGATCATTACTGATCCAGGGTCATTTTGCTCTGGTCCTATAATTACCCTTGCCTCAGGTGTGCTTCCTGAGTCTACTGGGACAGAGCAAACCTGCAGTATTTTCCCAGAGAATCTGTTTTTTCTTTCTTTTTTTTTTTTTTTAAGATTATTTATTTATTCATGATAGTCACACAGAGAGAGACAGAGAGGCAGACACAGGCAGAGGGAGAAGCAGGCTCCATGCAGGGAGCCCGAAGCGGGATTTGATCCCGGGTCTCCAGGATCGCGCCCCAGGCCAAAGGCAGGCGCCAAACCGCTGTGCCACCCAGGGATCCCGAGAATCCGTTTTCTTTGGAGATTTGGGGAAAATTATTTGAAAGGATTACTGCTATTAAGACAAATATGGGTATATTATGGAGTAGAAAAATCCCTATTATCTTTCACTAAAAAGGGAGATTTTAAAAAATTTTTGCCCTGATAACCTACACCCCCAGGCTCTCAAGGGTACATCTTTTACTTCCCTGATAACCATTAAGGAAACTTTTGCTGGAAAATTTAGAAAAGTATTTTTGCCAGATGGAAGAATTCACTGTAGACAAAGGTTACTTTTGGTGAATGAAGGACAACTAAGGGGGATTTTAAGGTTTATACTGTGTAGTTTTAAATCTCTCCTCTGTAACAAGAAACAAAAGACAAAAAGAAAAACCCAATAAAACATAAATACATGTGGTTTCTGGGGGACAAAATCCCAAAGTGCTACTGGATGGATGATGTAGTGGCCTACAGCCACTAGTAGCAGGCACATTCTGGGACCCGGCTCTCACACACCCACACCAGAGTCTGAGGGAAGGAAGGCAGACGTTCACCCAGGATGAGCTCACTCAGATAAAGTGGACCAGTGGGGAATTCTGAGAAGAAAGTGCAGAAAAACAACAGAGCTTTTGGAGTCAGAAACTGTGTCACAGTTGTGAAGCCTCGGGCAAGTCATTCTCTAGACCTCAATCTCATCTTTAATATGGCTTTTACCCTGCCTGCAGGGTACTGTGAGGATGCTATAAGCCAAGGTATATAACACACCAAGTGTATTCTAGGTACTCAACAACTATCACTCCTTTCGAATCCCCAGCAGTGTAGCAGAAAAAAATCTTTCAAAACACTGATGGGAGTAGAAAATGATAAGAGGGGTGGCGAGGGATGAGGGCCCAGAAACCAGGATACCAATTATAAACTGGACTCAACTCAGCAAGTGTGGCCACAGGTGCAATAGGCAGCAGGCCTCCCTGAACCATAAATACCATATGCCATGGTGGCTGGAGGCAGCACTGGGGCTCAGCCTTTAGACCATGTGATTACACAAGAAGAGAGGGAGGCAGAGAGGCCTTTTCAACCTAGTGTTTAAAGACACACAGCAGAGTAAGCATTTTAGTTATTTTTAGTTAAAGAAAAACAGACTTTTCCAAGGGTGACAAAGTGAACTGAAGGTCAGATGGAAGGAAGCAGGGTGTGTGGGCTGTTCAAAGCTCTTGCTCCAAAATCTGGAGGCGAGGAAAAAAGGTCCTCCCAAGAATTCAAGGGTGACTGGCCAGCAGAGAGATGACTTTGATGACTTTGGGCACTGGATCAGTCTAAGTAGGCTCTAAGGTGATTTCCACCTGCTAGTTGGTTGACATGATTAATATTATCACTCTTAGGGGCTATTACATTAAGGAATGACGCAGTAAGCCAAGAGAGTAGCTTATTCAGTTGGATTCTGAATCACAATCAGGAAATAGTCTTTATCTGCAAAAGAGAAAAAAGAAAAAATGAATCACTAAATCATTAAATCACCGAACCATAAAAGGAGAGGGAAACAATAAAAAGCATCAATGCTTCCAACTGTTGGGAAAACAGAAGATGAACCTGCGAGCTTCCCATGGGGGCTTCTGCAGTGTGGCTGCTGGGAAAGCCGAGCCCCTCCCACCCGCAGCAATGCCCTGCAGGGGATCCTCTTTTCTAATCTTCATGGTACCACATGGTGCCAACAGGAAGGTAGGCATATCATCCCTATTTTCTGGGTAGGAAAACTGAGGTTCAGAGAATTAATTAATTAATTATATTTTAATTTTTTTAAAACCCCAGAACATGTGTGCATATCTGAGTCTGATTCTTTTTTTTTTTTTTAAGGATTTTATTTATTCATGAGAGACATGGAGAGAGAGGCAGACACAGGCAGAGGGAGAAGCAGGCTCCATGCAGAAAGGACCCCGGGATCCCAACCTGAACCAAAGGCAGACACTCAACCACTGAGCCACCCAGGCGTCCCCAGGCACCCCTAATTAAGTTTTTTATTTTAATTCCAGTATAGTTAAAATTATTTACTTTTTTTTTTTTTTTTAAAAGATCAGATAGATTTTTTTAATTTATTTATTTATGATAGTCACAGAGAGAGAGAGAGGCAGAGACATAGGCAGAGGGAGAAGCAGGCTCCATGCACCGGGAGCCCGACGTGGGATTCGATCCCGGGTCTCCAGGATCGCGCCCTGAGCCAAAGGCAGGCGCCAAACCGCTGCGCCACCCAGGGATCCCAATTATTTACATTTTTAACAAGTTCCCAGGTAATGCTGATGCTGCAGGTTCTGGGACAACCATGAGATTAAGGTTGCTCTTCATTTTATTTTAGAAATTAGAGAAGCAAGGCATTTCAACTTTGTCCACTTAAACCACAAACATTTATCAAAGCTTCCATATGCCTAGCCCTGGGACAACCACTTCTCACATGGTACCTCAGGAAATCTGTTTTTGAGACAGATACTAGTTTTCTACTTTGAGTCTCAGAGTTAAATGACTTGCCCAAATCAAGGCAAAAACACTAGCTACCAGGGTTTGGCCCAGATGCTCTGAATGCCTCTGGTTTGCCCTCTGCTGAAGAGGGGAGAAATGGCAGGACCTTGGCCTTATCTGCTTTGTGTGTGCTGATTCAAACCTAAGTTTGCTTCTTCCCATGACAACAGGCTGTTGCAGATAGGAAGAAACAGATTTTATAAGACTAACAGTTCCATGGCTAAAGCAATCTAAGTTAAAATCACTTACAAATAAAAACAGAGATAACTGACAAGCCACCAAAAGAAACAGACACAAATAGCAATACTAGTGTCTTTTCTTCCAAATACCAAGCTCTAAATTCAATAATATCATTCCAGGTACTTTGTAGGAAGCACAGTGTTAAAGCTTGCTTATGCTGCACTACCCGGGCTTTATATTAGTGAGGTTAATAACTGAAAAGCAAGTCTGTCTTAAAATGTCTTTTCACAAGGGCTATTCTGGGCCAGGAGAGGGTGAAATTTGGTTCACATATGGAGGGCCAAACTGTCTGAAACTATTTGTTGCTATTTGTGGTCCAAGAAGCAGCTTCTCAGTTTGATCAACTAGAAAAATCAGATGGGAATAAAGAGACAATGGACTTCCTTCCTGGTAAGGGCTCTTCGAGGTTGTTTCCATGGTGTGGAGTGCTAATTACGGTTCTAGAAGGACCAACCTCAAACATGCAGCAACTAGGCCTATTCTATGCTGGGGGCTGTCCCTGTGGGGCTTATGCTCTGTGAAAGTCCTAAGGTAATCTTGTCCTAATGCTTCAGAAGCTCTGATAAGTACCTCCTGCCCACAAGAGTTCTGGCATCAAAATCCTATGTATATACATAAATATATATTTCTTTTCCCCCATATCAAAGTGGGTGCATCAAGGTGTCAAATCATTGATTTTCATCCTAAATACTTTGTTCCACAGACATTCCTGACTCCCATCTCCACTGCTCACCCCACTTCTTACTCCCACAGTGGGGTGTCAGCAATGGAGGGAGATTGAGGAAATCATTCATATATTTACTCACTGAATATCTGTTAAAAGCTTACTATGTTCCTACAAATATCTGTTCTCTTGGAACTATTTAAGTGGGGAGACAAACTTAAAAATGCAGATGAGCAGGCTGGTTGGCTAAATGAAAAGGCAAGATGGAGCGTTGCCAGCAACAGGATGGCATGTGTGAGGGCCCAGGGAGAAAAGCTGAAGTCTCTTGAAGCTCTGAAAGGTAGCAGGATGGCCAGAGAAGTAGTAAGGGTATTCAGAAGAAACACTCGCTGTGTTTAAGGCAACCTCAAAAAGTCACACAGCTCTCAGTATAACAGAATGTATGTGTGTGGCGCTGTGAGAGTGCAGGTGTGAAACAGAGTGAGTGAGTGAGTAAAAGTGACAGAGTGTGCATGCCTTCCCTCCAGGCCTTGTGTGTCACTCAGGAAGAGTCCAGCCACTCCATCCTCACTTTCACTAACAGAGCTGAGGCCCTTCTGGGCCTATGAACCCTAAGGAGAATCTCTAACTTGGGAGTTGCCAATCCTAGACTCAAGTACCAACCACACCCATTAACTGTGAATGCCTATGGGTCCTCAAGGGCAGGCTGGAGATGCCTTTGCTGTTGAGCTGAGAATGGACGGTTAGGAACTTCCAGATGACTCTGCCACTCCAGAGGAGACATTCTTGGAAGCTTTAAGTCAAGAGAAACTGTCCTTGGAGAATCTAATTTGAAAACCACATCATTTGTCCTTGCTTCACAATGTGTGCCCTCCTATGGGCACAAAGTCTGCTCTGATATGCAAGGTCAACAGAGAGACCATTCCTGGCCTAACTTTTAGGGAAGTGGAGGTTTGTGTAGCTATTCAGCATGAAGTCTTAGGAGGGATGTGAGTTCAAATATTTCCAAATCTTTCTACCTCACCCAGAGCCAACTCACTCAATCAGATGGGGTGTCTCAGGAGATCAGAGCAGTACAGTACCATACCTGACAATTTACAGATGTGGAAATAGTGGTTCAGAGGTATTTTGTGACCTAAGGTCACACTCAAAAGAGGTAAAGCTGTGAAAACAGATTTTGTCTGCTGCAATCTGATTTTCCTCACAGAACCAGAGGCATTATAATGGGTTGGTAAGTAATGCATCAAACAGTGATTAAACTGATAAATAGCGTACTGCATGTTTTTGGAATAAATGCTTCTGAGCTTATCTTATGTTTTTCTCTGTGATCAACCTGCTGTGTCCCCACCCCTCTAGGAAGTATCCCTGTGACTAGGTCAATGGTTCTCTCCTTTGTATCCTTCCAAACAGCCAGAATAGGCTGGAGGAGGCCTAAAAAAAGAACCAATACTGTTCTGCTACTGGGGTGGTTGACTCATCAAATTACCTTAGAATTCTGTAATCAGCTTCCTCATCATCTGTGTTGCCAAGTCCAGGGACATTTAGCATCCCCAACCTCCTTATTACCCAGGCCCCAATCACAATCATACTACCTCTTGCCTTAAAAACTATCACATAGTTAAGCTTGGTATTTGATGCCTCTTCGAAATTAGACCAAATGTCTCACCTCTCATTCCTTCCTACACATATTCTGATGGCCTAGACAAGCTGCACTGCAGCCTACCTCCATCATCACAGGCACATTTAACTATGTGGCACAGCCAAAAAAGAGAGAGGGAGGGAGAGAAGTAATAATATAAAAATAGTCCTGACAATCTGTCCACCACTCCAGTCTGTAAATGTGAGTAAGGTGATGCAGGCCAGGACAAGTGGCCCTCATGTTCCCTCCTGTGGCCCCAGTCCTTATGGGCTCCACCCAGGAGCATTTCATCATCCTTCAAATGATCCTAAAGACAGGTATAGTTTGTACTACACAGCTCTCACATGCAGGCCAAGCACTGCATGAGAAACAAAAGCAGCAATCTGTTCCAAAGCTGAAGGAAAGGATAGCCATACTGGGCCTAGAAAGACAGGACAATACTTTAGAAGTGGGCAGTGTAACATTTTTTCAAAGATAAAATGACCACACAGTACTTTTGTCTTGTGCTTTGGTTTCAAATCACTGAATGCTTTTTCCTTTAAACATAGCTTTCCGGGATCCCTGGGTGGCGCAGCGGTTTGGCGCCTGCCTTTGGCCCGGGGCGCGATCCTGGAGACCCAGGATCGAATCCCACATTGGGCTCCCGGTGCGTGGAGCCTGCTTCTCCCTCTGCCTATGTCTCTGCGCCTCTCTCTCTCTCTGTGACTATCATAAATAAATAAAAATTAAAAAAATTATAAAAAAAAAAATAAACATAGCTTTCCCACCCCTTCAACTTGCTTAAACTCTTTCTTGTGCCTTTTAGATTCAGCTCAAATGTCCCCTCTTCTGGTAAGATCTACTCACATCTTCCTCTATGTTCCATGAGACCATGATTCCCCTCTGTGGCCTGGACTTTAGTACAGGGTCTGGCCTAGAGTCACACTGAAAAAGTGTTTGTTGGGGATGCCAGCCAGAGACTGGTCAGGCAGTGAGGCAGTCAACTGTGTACTTTCAATGCCTTAGGATTTTTAATGGCACCTGTGGGGACATCAATGTGTCAAGCCTCCCCAATAAGCTACCCAGAATATGCTGTGACAGTCAGCTCCCAGGTGGGAATGTGGAACACCTCTTACCTGGTGCAACCATAATTTCATTTTTCTTGGAGCGAATTCGAAGGAAGGTGAGGTCATTCTGGGGGTCAATTTCACGCACGGTGCTCCGGGCCTTCAAGATGAAGTTGTGCATGAGGTTGGCATACTGTGTGGTAGTGGGATTGTCCATGGTGCTCTTGATGGGAATGCCTGAGGGGAGAGCAGAGACTGAGTAGGAAGCTGGAACTCCTTTCTGCCCAGCTCTCCACCCCACACCCTTAATTCAAGAGTACAGGACTAGCAGTTAACAATCAATGCCACTATTTACTGAGGGCTTGATACACACAGTACTGAGCACTTTAAGTATGGTAGCACCAGTCCCTAGAATTACTCTGGAGTGGTGTCACCATCTTCACTCGCCAATGAGGCACAGAAGCTTTGAGCCATCACACAGCAGATAAGCATGGGGCCAGGATTCAAATGCAGGCCTGTTGGCTCTACTGCTGGGCTCCTTCCATAGTGGCATACTGCTGCTATGAGTGGCTGCCAGCAATAAAGGAGAGACTATCATTTAGGATACTTAGAACCTGAACAAAGAGGACAACTCTTGTAAATTTGTAAATACTGAAAAGTAGGAAGAAGAAAAAAAAAAGTCAGTCTCTGACAAGACATTACCATTACTAGTGTATTGTTCCAGTTTCCACCAAGGGAGGCTTAGGGCCCAGCTCTAAACATACTATCTATATACATGATTGTGCCCCTCAAATTAAAGCCTGTTTCTCTGTCTGCATATAAAATTGTAAACAGTACCACTATTGCTTTCGAAGAGCCCAGAAGTGGTCAATCCATAGAGTTAATTATTCCTCTGTTGTTGGTACCTATGCTGGATTTTTTACTTAATTACTATGCAGTGAACACCACTGTGTGCCAAGCCTTTTCTTTTTTGAGGACTGTTTCCTTGCAATGATGTATTAAATAGATCTCCCTTACTATAGCCATCAATGGCTATCATCATGGAGGTGAAAAATAGGGCTAAGCTTGAGCCACCTCAGGACACAATTGATTCATCAGGTGTCTATGAATCACCATGACATATCAGCAGAAGGTTCCACTGAGGAAGCTGGTAGGCACTTGTGACAAATGTGGCACAAGTGGCTCCTCACATATAAGTGGCTAGATTTAGGGGCCCATGCCCCTGCTGGTCTGGCCCACAAGTGACCACCTTAACGACTGGCCAAAGGCAATTTACTCTGAGGTCTACTCACAGGTGTCAAGAAACTGGCCCAACCTTGTCTTCTTAGGGCATAGGAACATGAGAGTGTGCAGAAGAAGACACAATGGCAAGAGAAGAAGCTGAGTCAGAGAGGCTGTTTTGAGCCAAGTCAAGTCATAAGGACAGATTGTAGTGATGACTAGGTCACGAGGACAATGTGCCCACCAGGATCCCAGGAAGCCTCACTCCGTAGCAGAACATTCCTAAGGATGGCAATATGAGCAGCTGGGGTAATGACTGAGTAGGAACTCTGAAATCTGATGATCTGGACTTGGACTCTGGCTCTGCCGCTTCATGGCTGTATGTGGTCTTAGATAAGTGATTTAATTTCTCTAAGTCAATTTCTTCATCTGTAAAATAATGCTTGTGCTATGAGGATTAAATATGGCTAAATCATTTAAGAATGTTTAGTAAGGAGAGTACAAATGTAATGTTGGCTTGTTATCAATGTCATTACAAAATAAATCCCATTCCCCAGATAACTTGAGGGGCCAGTCTCAAGGCCTTGTGAAGTCTGGATGATCAGAACTCTTAGGCTTTTCTTATATACCACAAGGCCACCTTCTCTCAGGTTCCTCTGCCTGGAACTTGCCTTCCTTCCCCATCTTCTCATGATTCCCACTGATCCCTCATATGTCCATTTTCTGGAGGACCTACCCACCCCTAGATGTGGTCAATGCCCCCATACTACTGTTCCACACAATTTTCCTTCAGAGAAGTTTCCTCTGGAGTTTGATATCATACCATTATGGAAGTGATCATTAGAACTATAAGCTCCCAGGGCCAGGACCAGGTCTGATTTGCTCACGTTTGGTATGTATGTATGTATGTATTTATTTATTTATTTTAGAGAGAGAGAGAGAGAGAGAGGCAGACACACAAGCAGGCTCCATGCAGGGAGCCCGACGCAGGACTCGATCCCGGGACTCCAGGATTGCGCCCTGGGCCAAAGGCAGGCACTAAACTGCTGAGCTACCCAGGGATCCCCTACTAACCATTGTCCTTAAAGAGACTCCAACTAAGCATTTATTGTAGATGGTAAATGAGTGCTCTCAAGGCCTCCCTAAGCAGGTCAAATACTGCCATGAGTTTCATCACATTTCTACTAAGTGAGAGGTGTATAAAGGAAACATGAAACTAACCAGTTGTTACCTTACTTTATAAACAAAAAAACCCCACAGAGGTGGTGAAGAGCTGGAACAGGGACTAAAACTGGGGAGAATTTCAAATAAAGACAAGAGATCAAGTCCAGATTCACAGGATGTCAGAGCCAGCGACACCATAAAGATAGCCAAATGATCACCTACTCCAAACTTCTGCCTTCACAAATGGGACCGTGTGGCCTGCAAAAGTAGCTGGTCACGAGGGAGCAGAATTTCTAACTTGGGGCTCAGATTTGTCAAGACCAAGGCTGTATAGTGAGGTCCTCCCAGCAAACCCAGCTTTGTCAATCAACAATAAAAAACATTAACAATATTTAACAAAGTAGTCCTCGTCTTATCTGTGGTTTCACTTTCCATGGTTTCAGTCACCACATCAGCTCAGGTCTGGAAGCAGATGATCCTTCTGGTCAGGTCAATAGTAGCCTAACATTGTCTCACAATGCCTGTGCCATTCACCTGACTTCACTTCATCATGTAGGCAATTTTATCATCTCTCGTCATTACATGAAGAAGGGTGAACACCATATAATAAGGTATTTTGAGAGAGACCACATACACATAACTTTTATTATTCTTATTATTTTTAATCTTAAGATTTTATTTATGCATTCATGAGAGACACAGGCAGAGGGAAAAGCAGGCTCCATGCAGGGAGCCCGACGTGGGACTCAATCCCAGGACTCCAGGATCACGCCCTGAGCCGAAGGCAGGCACTAAACCGCTGAGCCACCCAGGGATCCCCTATTATTATTATTTTTTAAGATTTATTTATTTATTCATGACAGAGAGAGAGAGAGAGGCAGAGACACAGGCAGAGGGAGAAGCAGGCTCCATGCAGGGAGCCCGACGTGGGACTTGATCCCAGGTCTCCAGGATCAGACTCTGGGCCCAAGGCAGCGCTAAACCGCTGGGCCACCAGGGCTGCCCTAACTTTTACTATAGTACACTGTCATAATTGTTTTATTATTAGTTATTGTTAATCTCTTGTGCCTTATTTATAAATTTAACTTTATCATAAGTACATATAGGAAAAACCATAGTATACATAGGGTTGGGTACTGTCCTTGTTTTAGGCATTCACTGGAGTTTTGGAATGCATTCCCCAATGGATAAAGGCGGACCACTGTATTTATTAAGCACCTACTATGTGTCAGCACTGTTCTAGGTGCTGGGGATATAGTAGTGAACACCAGAGATAAATCTCTGCCTTCACAAAGCTTACGCATTGGGAGTCTTTTATGTTGCCCCGTGTGGGTAGCTGAAGTGGTCAGGAAATGCATCCTGCAGGAAAAGGCAACTGAGTTGAATCATGGAGGTAGGAAAGCCCTGGAGGGGATAATAGGAATCCCTAATTAATCATCCTTCACGGAAGCTTCCAGAGGGCTTAAAGTCCCTATAAAACAGTGAGTTCTGACCCATCCATAGCTGGGTCAGTGACCTTGGGAGGTTACCTCATTTCTCTCAGCTCTGGGTTTCTCATCTGAAAAATGGGCAGTACCCCTGGCCTTGCAGGGTTATGGTGTGAAATGTAAATGAGACAATGAAGTAGAAACTCTGTAAATGGGACAAAAATTAAAAATAAATAAATACATGCAATAATTTTAGCATTTATATATGGCAGTTTACTATATGTTAGGTACTGTTCTAAAAGTTTTCCTTAGGGGCACCTGGCTCAGTCAGTTAAGCATCTGCCTTTGGGTCAGGTCAGGATCCCAGGGTCCTGGGATTGAGCCCCATGTAGGGCTCTCTGCTTAGCAGGGAGCCTACTTCTCCCTCTCCTCCCAACTTGTGCTATCACTATCTCTGTCTCTCTCAAATAAATAAATAGAATCTTAAAAAAAGAAAAACTAAAAAAATAAATAAAAGCTTCCCTTAAAGGAAAGTAATATAATTATCCGAATTTTGCAGATGAGGAAACTGGAACAGAGAGGTTAAGTGACTAGCCTAAGACCACACAGCTGACAAATTAAGTAGAGCCAGGATTCAAACCTAGGCAGTCTGGTTCTGCATTCTATATTCCTAGCCACTGGGTAATACTGCCACATTAAGTATATGAAAAAGAAGTGCTCACTAGTATCCAAAAGGTAAGCAATTGGTGCTATATTTTCCCAATGAAAAAGCTCAAGTTTGGGGGCAGTTTCAAGGCAAAAATGAAGGCTGTGGTTTGCAAATGCTAATGGAGGCCTATTCCCTCCCCAATTGGGGGTCAAAATGTCCAATCCTAGAAAACAGTCTTTCTGGGTGATAGACAAATAGTCTTTCAGATCTTAGAGTAAGAAGCACCCAACAGAGACTACCTGGATCAACCATTCCACTCATGGCAGCTGAGGTCAGCTGAGCCATAGCAACCTGAGCTGGGACCTGTTCCTGCCTCCACAGTGTCCTGAGGGCCCCCAACCTCCTGCCTGTTTCGACCACATAGTGTAATGAGAGTTTGACAAAGCTGGGGAGCATTCACTGCCTAGTTCTCGACTAGCCAGCATATGTTTCTGTAGACAACTTGGAAAACCACATTTTTTTTTAAAGATTTTTATTTATTTTATTCACGAGAGATAGAGAGAGGAGCCTGACGTGGGACTCAATCCTGGGTCTCCAGGATCAGGTCCTGGGCCGAAGGCAGCGCTAAATTGCTGAGCCACCTGGGCTGCCCGGAAAACCACATTTTAACTAAGGGTGCCACTTCTACTTTTTCACCCCCAGTGACTTTCATCTTGCTCTATTTAAGCAGGCATTATTGAGAATTCTGCCATTCTAGAGACAAGGCCTAGAACAACAACACATACAGAGCTCTCGGAGAGTCTTGAGCAAATCAGAGCTGACTAAATGCACTGCACTAGAAAATGAGGGAGCCCAGCTGGGTGACTCTGCGCATGGCCGGGGCCACAGACCAAGCAGCTACTCTGTTCCTTCACAGTATAGTGTGGGAGGGAGAGCACAAGTGTATTCAGACAGACTTGGGATGAAATCTTGGCTGTAATGCCAGGCAATCAATTAAAATTCTAGGCTCTGTTTTTTCCTACTGCAAAATGGAGACAACAAGGCTGCTTCATGGAATGGGAATAAATGAAACAATGTTTGTAAAGGATGGCCTGTGGTCTGGCACAGAACAGGTACGTGATAAATGTTAGTCCTTTTCTTCACCATGTCTATCGCAGTTTGGGAAAATTAGTATCTGTACTCTTCTAGCTATTGAAATAATGCTATAGAAGAGTAAGCAGAGGCACCTGGGTGGCTCAGCTGATTAAGTGTCCAACTCTAGATTTTAGCTGTGGTCATGATCTCATGGTTGTGAGATCAAGCCCTGAGTCGGGCTCCATACTGATTGTGGAGCCTGCTTGGGATTCTCTTTCCCTCTACCCCAACCCCACCATCCCCTAAAAGGAGGGAAAAGTTATAGGCATAAAGTAGTTGACCAGAGTATTATCTAGCAAAAAAAGTAGAAATAGGGGCACCTGGCTGGCTTAGTGGGTAGATCGTGCAACTCCTGATCTCAGAGTCATGAGTTAAGAGCCCCACACCAGGGGTAGAGTTTACTTAAAAGAAAAAAAAAAAAAAAAGGTAGAAACCATATAAATGGTGGATGGCTGATAAACATTGTACTAGCAGTTAAAAAATTTGCTTATGGGGATGCTTGGGTGGCTCAGTAGTTGAGTGTCTGCCTTCAGCTCAGGGTGTGATCCTGGGATCCGGGGATCAAGTCCCGCATCAGGCTCCCCACAGGGAGCCTGCTTCTCCTTCTGTCTATGTCTCTGCCTCTCTCTCTCTCTCTCTCGGTCTCTCATGAATAAATAAATAAAATCTTTAAAAAAGCCCAAAACAACCTCATGAGTAAACATACGCAAAAGAATAACAATTATAGTAATTATGACCAAAAGAAGATGTACCTGGGCAAGCGCTAAAAAAAAAAGCACAGCATAGTAAAAAAGTATGATCTGTCAGGCAGTGGGACTGAATGAATTTTTCCTTTTTAAACTTTGTAATTCCAATAATAATAGTGCTAGGACACTGGAAGTGTTTTAAAAAGGGTAAAAATTACATCCTGTACATGAAGAGGCTTAGTAAACAATAAGTGTCATGCTACGTTTGGGCTGTTTTCTCAGGGCCTGCCTGCGTGTAGGTCATGGTCAAAGGGAGGGTGTACCTTCTGTGTTCACCACGATGATGCCCTGTACTCCCTTCTGGCTCTGAAGTCGCTTCAGTGTCTCCTCCACCTCTGCCTGCCAGAGAGAACAAGATCCAGGTTAGGAGGGGCCAGGAGGACTGGACTAACTCCCTCTTACTCCTGACAGATTAATCACACATCTGTCTTTCAAAACCAAACAACACCCAGGCACCTGGCACCTCCTTAAGTCTCCCCAGGCCTGTTTGGAGTGGTCCCTGGGCCATCCCCAGCACTTAAACCATTTGCTCACAAACCCCAGCATGGGGTGGGGCTACTCCTGGCCCTTTGCGCACTAGGCACGATTACCTTTCCCTGCTTAGCTATTTGGGAGAATATAAATACCATTCTTATGAGTATATATACATCCATGACTCAACTCACATATTTGGTACACTTGGGGGACCGGACACTGATGATATGGAAAAAAACAAACAGTGATGTCTAATAGGAAGAAGACTAAGTTGTCATTTGTGACCCAAACAGCACAACTGAAAATACTCCAAAGGAAGAAAACTGACTCCATGAGGATAATAAACTCAGTGACTCAGTAAGTTAGCATCCAAGTCAGTGTAACATATGGCATATAGGCACAGGAAATGTGCCTGAGGAAGGGGCTCATTAATCCAGATTCTCCAGATACTAGCACATGGCATTTGGGTCCTCAATCTATCATGCCAGGTCTTCTATATTATTATCATTCCCATCTCTTTTACCCTTCCTTCAATTCTCCATCTCCTTGCTCATACCTCCCTACCTCCACATCTTTTTTACCCTAACGAGGAAATCCAACAAATTCTTTTAGGTCATCAAAGACATTACCTCTTCCATAAAGCTCTTACTGATTTGCAACTCTGGAGAACTCTGCCCACTTCTGAGTCCCCAAACTCTTCACTGTACTTCTTTAGGAATGCGTTAGGTACTGATTTACTTAAGAGTTTCTACAATGGTCTGCAGAATAGGAATTCAATAAATAGCTGCTTAACTGAACTAGGCCTAACTCTGTGGATAGAAACTGGCCTTAACGTGTGGAAGTTCTTAGAAGGCCCCTTCCAAACCAGTCCAGAATCCAACTAGGGGAAGCTACTCAAAGGCTGAGTCAGATTATGTTGAAAACAGACACCATTTGCCTAAAAAAAGTGGTTCCCTACCCCCAAGCGCTAATGAGTTGGCCTGGAGGGGAGGAGCTTCTAAACAGTGATGGAAAGAGCACAATGAATTATTGTTTTTCTAGTAGGCACAAAGCTGACAATCCAGTCACTACCACCCACTTCCCAATGATATAAGAATACTCAAATGCTACAGAGAAGAGCAAACAAGTTCCTTCTACAAAACGGCAAATAGCCTGATGCCTCATAAATCTGGAGCCCGAGTAAAAGGACCAGGCTAGCTCTGTGGACATGAACACAATATAGTGGGTCATGCATGTATGAGGTCATAATTTACTCAAGACTTTCACTGAGCTCCTATTTAGTGCTATTCTGGAGAGGAGGGGTAAAGTGAAATAGTGGTCAATATTACACAGTATTCAATCTGACCCGGTAACTTTCCTGAAACTCATCACAAGGAAATAACTTAAAAGAATACAGCAAGATGTTACCCACTGTGACATATGCAGTAACAAAAACCTGAAAGAGCTAAAAATGCCTAATAATTAGGGGAAAAAAATAAAATTATAGAATGTCTATTCATACAATGGTGATGAGCATGGTGATCAGAATATTTATATCACCACAAAAGGTTTATGACATAACATTAAGTGAAATCAGCTAAATGCAAAAATAAAATGCTTGATGACGGTAATCACATGAAAACAGGCAAGGCAGGACTCAGAAAAAAAATAAAAGCCAGATCAAGAGCAGGGAATTATAGATAAGGTTTTATTTTCTTTTTTTCCCCCAAAGCAATCTCTTTTCTATTATATTGTTTCCATTTAAAAACTTTTTAAAGATTTTATTTATTTATTTGAGAGAGAGCAAGTGAAAGAGAGAGAGAGCTAGCAGGGGGAGGGGTAAAGGGAGAAGCAGGCTCCCCGCTGAGCAGGGAGCTCACTGTGGGGCTCAATCCTAGGACCCTGAGACCATGACCCAAGCCAAAGGCAGATGCCTATCTGACTGAGCTATCTAGGCGCCCCTAAAAACATTTTTGATGGTGTCAGTTGGTTAAGTGTCCAACTCTTGGTTTTGGGTCAGGTCTCAAGGTCATGGGATTGAGTTCCGCATCAGGCTCTGCACTCAGTGCAGAGTCTGCTTGAGATCCTCTCCCTCTCCTCCCACTTGTGCCCTCTCTCTAAAATAAATAATCTTAAAACAAAACAACAATCCCAAAACATTTTTTTAACCCTTCTCTATGTATGTAAGAAAGAGATCTCTAATATGGGGACCACAGGGTTCTGAAAATGCTCAACACTGACAGCTCAATGTGCAATCAATCTAGGGAAAGTAAGAAAGCTAAAAATCAAAGGAGTCAGAATAGAGTCTGAAATATTCCCTGGAGGTTGGAAAGTGGGGCTGAAATGAAAAAGATGAATACTTCACAACTGCTATTATTTCAGCACCACTGCAGGGTACCTTCTATGTGCCAGACATTGTTTTAGGCCTGGGGATGCTATAGCAAAGAAAATCTAACAAAAACCTCTACCTTCATGAAGCTGACATGGGGGAGGGGAAGACATCAAAAACAATAACAACACAAGTAAAATATAAATGTCAGATATAGTAGGGAAGGGGGATCGGAATGCAGGGGCTGATGGCAATTTTAAATAAGGTGGTCAGAGAAGTTCTCACTAAGGTGATAGGTAAGTAGAAATCTGAAGAAAATGAGGGAGCTAATGCGGATTTCTAAGAAAAGTGTTCCAGACAGAATGAAGAGACAAGTATAAGCTCCCTGAAGTAGCATGTTTCAGGGCTCAAAGGAGCCAGTGTGGTTGAAGTGCAGTGAGCCAGATGAGAAAGGTAGCCAGGGTCAGATTAGATTTAGCGGGTTTGCTAGACCACAGCAATGACTTTGGTTTTTAATGGGGATCATACAGGGACCCACAAGCAGGTTTTGAGGTGAGGAGTGACAAGATCTGATGTTTTAAAACAATAGCTCTGATTGCTGTGTGAAAAGACTGCAAGGGGTGCAAACATAGCCTGCCTGAGCCTGGGCCCTGACACGCTGCTTCCTCTGAAGGAAACAATCTTCTTGCCTTCACTTACTGCTTGATGTAACTAACTCCCAACTCTTTGGATTCAGCTCATGGGCCTTCTGTGGGAGACCTTCTCCCCTCTTCTGGGTACCCCTGGCATTTCTGCCTTCAGAGCACTTACCACAATGGGACGTAACTCTTTATTCCTCTAGACCCAAAGCACCCCAGGAATAGGGACCTCTTATTGTCCCACTACTTGGGACAGTATAGACTCAACAAACACTTAAGGAACAAATAAGCATTTAGGGACCTCTTATTGTCCCACTACTTGGCACAGTATAGACTCAACAAACACTTAAGGAACAAATAAGAAGCATTTCTACAACTATGTTTCACAAAAACCAATCTTTTCAAGTATAGGAGGGGGGAATGGCCTAATAGTACCCAGGGTAAACAAGAGCTAGGGTCTAGGTGATCCTAAGTTTAATAAGAATCCACCACCAAGATCTGGCTGCTTAAAAAGTAAACACACACCAGGTGCCTAGGTGGCTCAGTGGGTTAAGCCTTTGGCTCAGGTCATGATTCTAGAGTTCTGGGATTAAATCCTGCATGGGACTCCCTGCTCAGGGGGAGCCTGTTTCTCCTTATCCCTCTGCCCCTCCCGGTGCTCATGCTTTCTCTCTCACTCTCAAATAAATAAATAAAATCTTAAAAAAAAAAAAAAAAAGTAAACACACACCAAGAAAACTGAGGACATACAATTAACTATATATTAACCTGTTCCGTACCTGCTAAAGGTCAGATGTTGGGATGATGTTTTCAGATACCTCTCTCATCTGAACCTTCCATAGTTAGTAGGATCTCCATTTTACAATGAGGAAACAGAGATCCAGAAAGAAGATTTGGAAGCCCAAAGACACACAGCAGGTCAAGAAAAAAGCTGAATATACCAAATGACCACAAATGATGAGGTCCCTGCCTGCAGGGAACTTACATTCTGGTGAAGAGACATTCAAAAGACAAAAAACCAAAATTCCTGTAGGATACAGGGACAGGGTTGGGGGGGCAGGGGGAATATACTTTGGCTAGTGTGGTCTGAAACACCTGAGGATGCAATCTTTAAGAAAACTAAAAGATGAGAAAGAAAAGCACTCCAGGCAAAGCACTGAAAGCAAAGGCAGTGAAGTGGGAACAAGTTTGGCATGTTCAAGGAAGAGAGAGGGCTAGTATTGCCAATGTTTTTTGATTCCTTGCTAATTTGATCAGCAAAAATCATATAACAGAAAGTCAACTTTTCTGTAATTTTTAAGAATTATCAGTGAACATGTTTATCTCTCTCATTATTGAGTCTTTTGCTTTTTCTACGTATCTATTGATTTTCAAAAACTTTTCTATGTTAGAAAATATAAGACTTTCATCTAACAAATACATGGTTTAAAAAATATTTTTCTGTAAGACAAGAGAATAGTCTTTTCCAATCTGACCTCTACCAGTAGGATGGGGCTAGGCCTGGCTGAATTGGGATGATGAGGTCTAGAGGGATCTCCAGAGACAGCAAGGCAACAGCTACCTGTTGGGTTCAGGACTAACTGCTTAAAACAAACCTCAAGTTTAGCCCTAAAAGAGCTAAGAAGAAAAACTAATATTGTCAAAAAGTCACAGACAGCAACAGGGACATTTACAGATAGGAAAGGACAGTCCTAGGCAGGCATCCAAGTCATGTCAGCTCTAGATCAAACTTGGTTGTTCCTGCGGAGCTAGCCAACTGGTACCAGAAATATCTGAGTGGATACGCAATCCCCCAGGGTTGGCTCACACCTCTAACTTCCTGTCCTGCTCCTAGAGAACCCAGCTAGTATCCTCTGCATTTTGGGTCATAAGTATTACTAACATGAGTGTCTGCATCAGGCAAGAAACAAGCCTTCTGAGTTCTTTAGTTCCCAGATGTGTGTTGTTGACAGACATAAAAACAAGTAGCAGTAAAACTCCAAGATTATTGACTGGTTCAGCATAAAAGGAATAACCATCAGAAGCAAATGATTCACAAAGAAACTGCGACCCACCTGACTGCTAAGCATAAACATTTTAATTTGTATAAAACAAAAATGAATGAAAAGGATAGAAAAACATCTGCATCTAATATAAGAAAAGAATAATTCCAAAACATCACACAAAATGATCAAGAAAAATAAAGTCTAAAAGTTAAGTTGGTAAAATAGAAAATACACTTAAGAGAAATTACAGACAAATAGAAACATGTTCACCATTTCCTGAAAAAACAGGAGACATTTCATTTCATTCCTAAAAAATGAAAAATTATAGTAATAATGAGGTATCTTTTTAAATCTGGCAGTTATGGCAAAACTGATACAACGGCAATTCAATCTTTTGGGAAAGCTATAGGACAATATTACTGCAAGATCCTATGTGTTGGTCCCTTGCCCTCAGAAGTTCTTTTCCTGAGAATTTCTCCTAATGAGATAATCTAGTAAATTTTTTTAAAAAGAAAAATAAACTGTACACATACGGAAGCACTCATCACAGCATTATCTCTTTTTTTTTACATTAAAAAAATTTATTTATTCATGAGATACAACCACACAGAGACAGAGACATAGGCAGAGGAAGAAGCAGGCTCCCTGCAGAGAGCCCGGTGTGGGACTCAATCCTGGAACTTGGGGATCATGCCCTGAACCAAAGGCAGATGCTCAACTGCTGAGCCACCCAGGTGCCCCTAACATTATCTCTACTAATGAAGAACTAAAAGCCAGAGATTTGGGTGCAACTCAAATGTACACCAGGGGGAACAGTTTCTCAAATTATGGTGTAATTATTTCATTATTATGTAGTCACTAAAGTAATTGATCACAAAGATGACATAGCAACAAGGTTAAATGTCTTTGGACATTAAGACCAACAAAAAGGAACTACAATGTACATCTTGAAAAATAGGCACATATGAACCAAGAGGAAGGAGAACACACAAAGACGAAAATAGTTATGTGGTGAAGTAAAAGCAGATAAAATTATGGATGATTTTTATATCACTATTCTGAAGGACAATTTGGCAGTTTCTACCAAATCAAAAAATAATGCATGCCAGACAGAAGTAAGACCTCTAGGAATCTGTCCTATATCCTACATAAACGCTAGCATGAGCACACACATACACAGAAAGACAACAGTTACTGCAGGGGTGCCTGGGTGGCTCACTCAGTCAAGCAACCAACTCTTGATTTCGGCTAAGGTCATGATCTCAGGGTTCTGGGATCCAACCCATGGTCCAGCTCTGGGCTGTTGGGAGTCAGCTTGAGAATTCTCTCTGCCCCTCCCCCCACTTATATTCTCGTTCTCTCAAATAAATAAATAAATCTTTAAAAAAAAAGGCAACAGTTACTGCAGCATTGCCTAGAGTGAAAAACTGCAAATCACCCAACTGTATTTACCACAATGGAATATTAAATAGCCCTTAAAAAGAGTGAAGATTTGTATATATTACCATGGTAAAATGTTTGGTATTTTTAAGTGAACAGAGTAAGCTACAAGAGATCAATCTCTCTCTATATAGCCTAAAATACACTTAGTATGTAAAAACATATATGTTCCAGTTTCATGTAATAAATAGCTTAGATGTAAATCTGCTTATGTACTAATCAAATCTAGGAGGAAACATACCCAAGTGCCAACAGTCGGTTACCAGAGGGGAGTGACTTGGGGACTACATGGACTTTCTACATTATATACTTTGATACTGCTTGAAGAAGTTAAAATGGACAGCTAAATATGCTTTGCTTTTATGAGTATAAACACACAGTACCCCGGTACAGGTTGCAGTAAGCTACCATTTATGTCAGAAAAAGAGGGAGCATATACATGCCTGTATTTGCATGTAGATGTGTAAGAAACTAACTTTCAACTCTGGAGACTGAGGCTAGGGATCAGGGATGGGTGGGAGACTTATTTTTCAGTTAGATCCTTTCAGATTATTAGTAGTTTTTTTTTTTTTTTTTTTTTGGCTGTGTGCAGGTATTATCTGCTAAAAATTGATTTTTTTTTACAGTTTAAAAAGTGATGTGAAAGATGAAGTCACATATGTTTGAAGCATTATTACATGTTTTTAGTGATGTGAACACATTCTTTGTAGTGTAATAATAAATGAAAAAAAGCAGAGTCCACAACTGTACATTCAGTAGGAGCTAAACTATTTTAAGCAAAAACGGAGACAGAAAGGCTAGAATTTGTCTAATTAGAAGTGCTTGCCTCTAGGTCATGCCACTGTTCCTTTTTCCTTTTCCATTTTTCTTGTGGGCGTTACGTTTTTAAGTAAGAGCTTTGATTTCACATTTCAGGAGTCTCTTCAAGCTTTCTGCAAGTCGGGAGGATGAAAACCACGAGGAAACAAACTGAGAAGGGCATAAAGAGCCAACAGTTCCTGCCAGCAGGGCTTTGGCATGGTCAAGGGCGGACCCCGCCGGTTTCTGATTCATGCACCAAGTTCCAGACGCTCGAAAGAACCATAGGGACAGAAAGGCGTCAGTAAAGCTTCTAGGGTGCAAATCACCCTCCGCCATTTCCTGAGGCAAAGGATTTAGTTCCACTCGGTTTTCGATTCCAAGTATATCAAATGGGGATAATGGTCGTATCTACCTCACAGCGCTCCTATGAGGAGGGCCAAGATACAAAAAGCAGTGCCTGATACAAATTAGGCTTCCAGAAACGTTATCATTATTGTTATCACGCAACAAGGCTCGGGACCCTGGGATGCAGGGGCCTATGGGCCAGCTTCCCCATCTTGGTCAGACTCTCGCCGAGGCCCGAGCTCTGGCTTCCGGTCTAGGGTCAGTGGGATACGGTGGCCCCGCCTCGGTCCCCTCGGTCCCTCAGTCCGGGTCTGCAGGCCCGCGCTGCCCGAGTTTCCACCCTCCAGAGCTTGGGCCCTGCCCCGCCCAGCCCCCCAGATTCCTGGCCTGTCACTCTTGAGACGCCCCCGGACGATGGAAGACCAGGCGCAGGTGGTATTCGGCCACCTTCCGGCCGCCAGCATAAAGCTCCAGGCAGACACTCACCATTTCCAACCGATCCCGTAGCTCCGCGACGCCGGCGCTCAGTCCAGGCCTGGGACCTTTCCGCGCCTGCGCACAGCACCTGTCTAAACGGACAGCTCTGGTAGCCTATCAGGAGCCAGTAATGGGAACGGGCAGGCAGGCGGGGCTTGGCTTCCCTAGGGCTCGTAGGGAATTTGCCTGGCGCTGTACGAAAGTGAAAAGCGGAAGAGCGCTTCAGCTATGGAAAATTCCCAACTCCTGGCGGAAAGATGCTGGTTAGCGGTGTCAGAAGAGTATTTCGACTCTCAGCCGAGGTCTGAGCTGGCTCTGGGAGCCCTGGGTGGACGGCGGTGAGCGAGTATGAAGGCAAGGAGGGAGGTTTTGCTGAGACCCCCTTTGCGCCCTGATGAAGGCAAAGTAAGGCGCCGTGTCAAAATGCGCCAAAGGCGCGGTAAAGTTGGGGACGGGGACTGGAGTGCGTCTCTGGGATCTCCAGAGCGATCCCCTTTGGGAATATTCCAGGCTGGTTCTCGGAGTGGTTAGGGCTAGCCTGGGAGTACTCAGGTTTAGGACTCCGAGTTCAGCTCCACCCCTGGGTTACCCCGGAGAAACCGCTTTACATCTCTGTGCTCCCTCATTTTTTTCACCTTTAAAAGAGTGGAGCTTTCTTCGCAAAGTCCTACGTTGTCCTATTTTCTGTTCTTTAGCCTTTGTTAGAAAACAAAATTCGATGGAATAAACTTGAAGATTTAATTGGCTTTATTACACAAGTCATGAATCGGGCAGCATCCTAAGAGAGGGAAGCTCTGCTGAGCTATACAAAGACTTTTTATTTATTTATTTATTTATTTATTTATTTATTTATTTATTTATTTATTTATTTATTTATTTAACAAAGACTTTAAATCAGAGAGGGCATAAGAAAAAGAAAGCAATTTATCAACAAGGAACGGATTATTTAAACCCTTATAAGGGTAAAGAAACAGGTCTGTCAGTAAATTTGCTAGTATTGACCAGGAAATTCCATGTTGACTGGTTCAAGGCTACATTCCTGGGGAGGGTGCTCGATTCAACACAGATATTCTAACTCCAATTTTTCTTTCCACTGAAAAGAAAAATTTTCTCAATTGGGAAAGGATTTGGTGCTCCTTTCTGGAGTGTCTGGATTTTAAGAGGATCGGACAGTCACTTTACAGTGAGAAAACTGGGCCGACATCATCTTAATTAAAGGATCAAGGTTAATATTACTAGTAATGGAATATGAACGTTTATACAGGCAGGCTTTGGAGTCACAGTCCAGAATTCCAGTTTGCAGTCTTGCTACTGAATAGCCTCAAATTAATCACTCTGAGTCTTCATTTTATTATCTATAAAATAGAAATAAGGGATGCCTGGGTGGCTTAGTGGTTGGGCGGCAGCCTTCAGCTCAGGTCATGATCCCGGGATCGAATCCCACATCGGGCTTCTGCGGGGAGCCTGCTTTTCCCTCTCCCTGTGTCTCTACCTCTCTCTCTCTCTGTGTCTCTCATGAATAAATAAATCTTAAAAATAAAATAAAAATAGAAATAATCATCCTAGAGAGTGGCCAGGAAGACTAAACAGTTACATGTGGCATATCTAACAGTGTTTGGGAGATGGTAATAAATTATGACAGTTGGCCTGGGGACTAAGTGAATATAGGTGTAGTGCTGGTTCCTAGGATAGGGAAGACAGATGAGCAGGTCTGAACTAGAAATGAGGAAAAAGTATGAATGTTTTCAGTGATTGGTACGTATAACTACAAATTCTCAAGGTCCTGCCCTGTGGGGTGCTTTGACAAAACCCTCTTGCCCACAGCAGCTTTGCTTAATGGGAATCTAAACAATGGACAAACATTGTCCTTCTGAGGTCTCCACTGAAGACCCTCCTCTCTTTGCCAACCATCAAGATTCCCTGGAATCCTCTCCAAAAATGTCCTAACCATAAAGGAGCCCTACACACACATAGGAATTGGTAACTGAAATGGGCTGGAGCTGACAGCAATTTCTATTCTACAGTTACATAATAGGAGACATTTAAAGTGCAGCCAACAGGGGCAGCCCCGGTGGTGCAGCGGTTTGGCGCCGCCTGCAGCCCAGGGCGTGATCCTGGAGACCCTGGATCGAGTCCCGTATGGGGCTCTCTGCATGGAGCCTGCTTCTCCCTCTGCCTGGGTCTCTGTCTCTATGAATAAATAAATAAAATCTTTAAAAAAAAAATAAAGTCCAGCGAACAGCAGTCAGCCACAGCTGAGTCTTGTTTGATGTTTTTATTACAGTTTGGGGCCAGAAAGCCAGATGATAAGAACTATTTCCCATGGAAGAGTCTCTCATGCTGGGAGGGACTGGTCTTGACTGGTCTCCACCCACCCACCCCTTTTTTTAGCCACACTGAAACTAGATCTTTCTGGCTGCTCATATAAAGCATTAAATAGGACAGGGTCTACTTCTCAGGATCTGGGAGGGATCTGCAGTTTATGTCCTCTAGTCACTGTTAATTCAGCATTAAAAAAAAAAAAATCCCAATCCCCTTAGCCTTTTACTATTGGTTCGTTCTATTTTAAATATGTGAGCATGATCACCTGGTTTCCTAGTAGGAAAAAGGTCTACTGAAGCTAGTGAGCAGGACAGCTTATTGAGGTCAGTCTTGGTAGTAAGCTCGTGGTTCTCTATTCAGCACCTGTGCTGGAGTCCTGTTTTAGAGCACCTTTAGTTGTCTTAGAAAACCAGATGTCTTCATTTTGGTTCTCTTCAATATAGGTGATAAATCCAGTCTCATCTCAGTGGGTCTTTCTAGTTTGTTTTTGTTTTTTTACCTACTCCACAGTATAGACAGGTTATAACCTGCCCACTTAGAAAAGCAGAGAGGCAGAAATCTATGAGACTTAATCATACAGAAAGAAGCCTTCACTGCAGGTAGGGAAAACCTCCTTACTCAAGACTAAGAGAACAGTGTGCAAATAAAGGACCAAAAAAGTTTAATTATAAACACATCTTACATCTTTTAAGGAAATGCAAGTGAGGCAGCCCCATGAAGGACCTTTATAAGAGCACTTGACTCCCTGTGATAATTGTAGAGTTACCTGAGTATTTGAAATTACAGTTCAAGAAAACAAAGGAACTCCAATACAGTAATATACAATCCAGTGCTGCCATTCCGTTTTTAGTAAATGAAAGCATAGCATATATACAAATAGTTTCGTAAATAACTTTAAAAGAAGAACAAAAAATAAGGGGGGGCTGGAGATACCAACAATATTAAGTAGAAGTAATTACCCTAAGGGAGTTCAGGTGGAGTTACATCCAAAACAAGGAAGGATATAGAAATAGAGAAGTCTAAAGTCCATGAGTCATCCCTGATACCGTTTTAGATTATTAACAAGATATATAAAAAGTGGCAGAGTGGGCTTGACTAAAATAGTTCATTTAGGATGAGATCTTTGTGGGCAAGTGAGCCATTTTTCACTTAAATTTCTGATGCATTGACATTAGTATGTCAATCTCTTGATGAAACATTAACACCTGAATTTTAAATAGAGTTATTGTAAGTCTTATGAAATAACATTCTTCTGCACTCTGATATAAGATCATAAAAGACAGAGCAGAAATTTATTATTATGAGCTGCTGGATCAGTTTTATTTTTATTTATTTATTTTTTTAAATCAGTTTTAAACCACTCTATCTGATGAAACGAGTGAGGTCCTTCCCTCCTGACCCAGGCTGTGAATGCTGCCTTCCCCAGTCTCCCAAAAGAGCAGAAGAATAAGGCAATTGCTCATTTTACTTTGTTTTTATTTCAACATAACATGCAGTAAAAAAAAAAAAAAAAAAACAGGATTTATTAGCATTTACAATGCTTACAAAGAAAAAGGACTCTAAAAGCAATTTAGTTCAGATTTAAGAAATTGCTCTAATTGAACACTTACAATAAATCTATTTCCAAATGTTCAGTTTGGACCCAATTTTAAAATAGCATTTGGTAGATATTTATGTCAGCTGTCTATTTGTAGTATTTTTATATAACCTCTGATTCTTGGGATATCCAGCCCCCATTTTCCTAACACAGCAGGGAAGACATATACATGTGGCCACTTAAATTAAAGGAAGAAATGGAATAGGGAGATCCCAGGCTGCAAAAATATATACAAGCATTTACCTTTTCCAGAACTAAACGTTTCTTCCATAAAAATATTAAATAGCCAAACCCTATAGAACTAGGGCCAGGGCTACTTCAAATATAACTATTCTGTATTTTAAAAATATAGGGCAGAAAGCCTTTTGGGTGATATTTATACATTTTCACACAATATTTCTAGGTCCCTAAATGAATCATCAAGCATTATGTAGAACAAAAAAAGTCTACTTTCTTACATTATTTAATTTCATCTCATAGATCTCTAGTAAATATTGTAGATAACTACATTTTATAATGAGAATTCACCTCAATAGTAAGTCTTTAGAGAAGGCTTAATCTCCACAGCCATATATTACCAAAGTTCAGATTTATATAATGAATGGATAGTTGGCATACATTCGCTCTGTAAGACAAAGCAATAGCATTTTCCCCCTACCAACAAAAAGGCAGAGTCCCTACTTTGGAAACAACTAGGGCTTTTGGAGACCACACATTTCCTGGAGTATATGGAATAAAAAACTAAAGATAGGGTTAGGGAGAACCTAATCTCCTCCCTTTACACTGGCAATTTCTAAATGAGGCAACCCTTTCAATCACTTTCAATCTGCTTTATGATGGCAGTGTTTTAGAGCACAGATACACAAGTTTTAAAATGTTTTTGTTGTTGTTCCAGTATGTAAGAATACTTAGGGACAAAGGAAAACCATTTTCTTTTTCTATGGAACAGGGGTTTGCTACTCTCTTATTTTTGGCTCAGCGCTACTTGTTAAGGTTATGCTATAGAAACCTGCCAAAGTCCTGTTTCATGAGTTATGAGGCTTTCCTCAGGCTTCAGCTGTGATAGGCACTCAGCTGGCTGAGGCTTCATCCCACTGTCCATAAAGTCAAACCTTTGACAGCAGCCACCCAGACAGAATCTAAGCTAGGCCAAGTTAAAAGAATTAACTATA